TACCAGTTGTGTCTTAAATAATCTGATTGAATCATAAGGCCTTATTTATTCGGTGTTGCGTATATTCTGGTGTATAGGCGGATAGTCTGTATCATCTTAACGACCCACGGAAAAATCATCGTAACAGAATCTGCCTTACAATGATGTCGTTAATAAAGGCATTTTAATATGTGTATGTCATAGATATTATTTATTGTTATGTGTTATTATTCTCTAGGGTTCCAAGTGGAACATGGGGGTTTCAGCAGCGCATTTCCATTTCATCCCGTTTTTCTTCAGTCCTCTTCAGCTGGTTCCACGATTGCCTATAAGCTTTCATTTCCTCCTCATACGTGATCCCCACAGTGCCATCCTTGGAGTCACGTCCAACTCGCCGTTTCCCATTCGAGTTCCACTCGAGGTTGTCACTCAGTGGTCTCTTGAACCTGTGTCTAATCTATCTTCGTTTCCTTATGCACATTTGTTGAACGATAGATTGTTGATTGGTTCTCTGTCAAAGTCGCTTGTTGTTCATCCTTTTTGGATGAAAGTCTACACTAGCCTATTGGAAGTGCTTTTCGTGACGCGTGGACTAAGTCCCCTAAACCACATAGAAGCCCTGACTTGCTATCAGTACTGAAAACCGAACTGTTGTTCTATATGATGATTGTAGCAGGCTTCAGCGCTGATTTCACACTGTGTACGATTTGTCATAATTACCTAAAGATAAACCTCATTTGTATTAAGCTTTATTTGCAGTGAATATTAAATTCTTAATCAGCAGCAGCACTCTAAAAGATCTTTAAAAAATCTGGACGTCTGTAGTGTTTGATTGGTATCAATTTCTGTTGTCAGAGGCTTATCCATGTAATGTATGTAGAAAAGTCGTCATCGCTTTTCATCCACCGATGACTTTTACTCGACTAGTAGTTCATACTTTTTCTGAGTATCAAGATTAGTTCTGTCAAATGGTCAGCAATAATATTTTTTTTGTTGGTAGTCAGTAGTATCAGCAGCAGAAATGCACGTTCGATAGTGTTATAATAGTGTCCGTGAGTATGAATGTCATTGGAGACATCCACCATTTGCTGGGATTCACATTCATTCATCTGACGGTTCCGAAATTGAAAAAATCTGGCGTCCTGGATTCCACTGCTAGTCACCATCAAAGTGAATCGCTTGATGTCACAGTGCTATGACCGAAGTCTTACTTTGAAAATTGTTGGGCTTATTCTTTTCTGAATTTGTATGTCTCTATTTTCGTGGTGATGATGCGTCAGTCGTTCAATTGTAGAGTGCTTGCCAACCACTCACATGGTTTGGGGTTCTATTCCCGTTTAAAGTACATCAGTGCCAGTGAAACTTCAAAGCTTAAGTATGAAGCCGTATGCATGTTCCGTTCGGAACGCGAACGAATGAAGAAAAATATTTCGTAATGTAAAACATTGTATTGGTTAGGGGATTACATCATGAGCTGACATTAGTTAGAGAACCATTGGACCTTCTGGTTACAAGGAGAGCTCGTAGACCATTTAACTGCTGGGACCCGATCCAATGGTCCTAAAACGAAATAGCTGACCAATACTCCCAGGTGGTTTTCCAATGGTTCTCTAACTGATGTCAGCTCATGATGAAATCCTCCAAACAATCAAACAAAATCCCTACAAAGCCAATACTTAAAACATTTTACATTAACTAATCAGCACCCAGTTGGTCATCATATGTTTAGCAATATGATACCAAACAACTCCAGTGTTTCTAACAAAAAAGCTTAAGGATGTGCTCAATTACTGCTTGTTAGTAATATTTCCTGTACAATAAAATAATCATGTGCAACATCTTATGTTTTCATCACTAGTTTCTTTTGTCCACATTATTCACATTTTATATTCTATTGGTTTTTTTGTGATTGGATCGTAGAAATTATTTTGTGATCCTTTTCATTATTGTGAACATTTAGCTTATGGTCAAATTAAACTATCTTTAAAAATCCCCACTTAAGCGCATTTAGAAAAAAGAACAGTGACTTGAGCAAACGAATATACTTCGTTTTCAATAAGTTCTTCATACATTAGTGTACAGTCATTGATGAGGGACTAATTAAGAAGGAAAATATTTCTTCGCTCAATTTGTTGTTTCAACCTAATTTTGCTTTTCGTGCTGATTAACTGTATGGGACTGAATGAAACGTTCGGCCTCCATTGACATGTCGGCTCCTAGCACGGACGCCAATACGAGTTGAAGACATGAAAAGGTTGACTGCTTTTGATCATAGATGTCTACGATCTCTTTCTCACGTTAGGTGGCATAATAAGGTAAGTAATGTTGACATTAGGCGTAGAGTGTTGGGCAAAGAGGTAAAATCAATCGAAGAGGCTATAAATTTACATAGATTAAGATGGCTAGGTCACGTGCTGCGCATGCCTAACCATCGCCTCCCCCGACGGGCATTACTAGCTGATATAGGTGCAGGTTGGAAAAGAGTAAGTGGTGGCCAAACAAAAACATGGCCTCATCAATCCATGAAATCCTTGAGAGTTAAACTGAGTCAGGTAGGGAGATGCAGGCTTCCGGGTCGGGGCCCTCGGGACTCCAAGAATCGATGGCTGGAGACAATAGGTGACATGGCTCAAAATCGTTGTCAATAGCTTATGAAGATGTATTCAGTCTCTGTATTCTTTCATATTCCTTTCTACCATTACTCATTCTGTTTCACCCTTATACTTGTCAAAACTTTATTGATTCTCTTCACTCATTTTCTTGTCTACCTTTGTGTGCTATTTGGAACGTGGCGACTCGAACTACTGCACTTCGGTGCCAAGTTCTATGTTGAATCCAGATAGACAGACAGTACGGACGCTTCGTAGGTGTTTGGCGATCAACATGTTATTATTTGATGGATGGCAACTGGCACTAGAATCGGGGATGCGCTTTTCATCCTATTTGTGACTACTTGTCAGCTGGGTGTAGCTGCTTTCTAAGCGACTGATGGCGTCCCCCTTTGAGACTCGAATCCTGGACCGATCGTTTCGAACGCTTCGGCGTTAATTTGCATTTTTCACTAACTGATTTTGTTGTACGAAATGCTCAGTGTCTGTTGGCATATTGACTCCTAATATGTGAACACTTCATCGGGAGCACCACCACTCATTAGTAATGCAGCCACATCCAGGTGACGAGTCCCAAGTAGGGCGAAATGCTCATCCTGGATTTCACTACTTTTACGTGAATTGACTAGATAGTAAGTCCCCTGGCTTTCGGTGGCTACCGAGCTCTGTTAGTCAGTTGTTCACTTTGGTCGCTAAGCTTAATGACTGTCTTGACGTTAGGAGTCAATCCACAGAAAACCTTTGGTTATCATCAATCAGAAGATATAGCTGCAGCTTTTTGGTAACCCATGTTCCTTCTGAGGTTTTTTTGTTTCTCTTATTCTGCTGAGTAGTGCAGCTATTCATACTAATACTTTTTTCCAGTGGCCTAATAAGTTAAATCTCAACCCTTCAAGTTACACATTTGCATTCCTCTTCATTTATTAAAGTAATCCTAGGGGATTTCATTTAATGGGAATATAAATGATTACTGTGTCACAATGATCTGTTATATTCGATTGATAAAGTTCATTTCCGACCACTTAAAGTTGTGTTTTTCATTCTTACTACAATTTGTAGTTGAGTTTGAGTATCTCTCAATAGTTATGTGATATAATAAAGTTTGTATTCATTGCTTTTCTTTAGGAAAACAAGTCAGAATCAACTGTTGTTCCATTCGCTTCACCTGAACCTTCTCGTTTAACAGATCAGTCAAGTTTATCCCCAACTAATCTTGCTCCAGTTCCATCTTCTGTATGCCTTACACCTATAGATTTACCACCAGACAATGACAATGAAAGTAGTAATAAAACACCACGTCGGAAAAGTACAAACAATTCAAAGAAAGGAAGTAAGAAAGCCCAAGAAAATACTAGAAAAACGACTACAATTCAAGATCGCAAATCATCATCTGGATTTCTCAATTTACTACAGAAACTAAGACCAAATAGCAAAGGTGAAAGTCAACTGCACAAAGCAGCAATTCGGGGTGATGTCAATCAAGCACGAGAACTCCTTACCGCTGGCTTATCACCAGATGTTCGAGATCATGCTGGCTGGACACCGCTCCATGAAGCTGCCCTACGTGGACACTGTGAAGTATGTATCAAAAATTGATTTCAGTTATACACGATTTCTATTCAGTAATTTCATTTTGTACAAATATATTTTCAAATTTACCTGTTCCGTCTGATTTTCTTTTAAAGGTTGCTAAAGCTCTGATCCAGGCTGGTGCTACTGTCGATATTCCCGGTGGACCAGAATTGGAAACGCCGTTACATGAAGCAATACAAAATGGTCAAGCGAACTTCTGTCAACTGCTACTTGATCACGGTGCTAATCCCCTATTTCCAAATAATAATGGTATTACACCAGTACAACTTGTCGATAATAGTATATGCTATGTAAAAGATTTACTAAATACTGATTCTAAATCCTCCTCGAAATATAATGCTTCTTTCAAGATATTGTCTGAGATTAGAGAAATGATTGACAAAGCATTGTTGTCTTCTACTTCATCGAATAAAAATTGTGTCATTGATAGCAGTAGGACTCCGAATCTATTGGCGATTTCTTCTGCAACCACTTTTATAGAAAGGTAAGTGCTAGATGTTTTTAGACTGTATATATATATATATATATATATATATATATATATATCATCACTGTTTTGTGTGCATTATAATAATGTGCTTACTGTGAGATAAGCTTTTTCTCAATTAATTGAGCAACAACTTACAGAAGCTTTAAAAAGAATGAAGAACGATCATCTCATTCGTGAAGAATTATACGAAAAGATCAGACCAACAGGATCTCTAATACCAAGACTTTACGTTCTACCGAAAATACTCAAAGCTGGCCTTCCACTCCGCCCTAAGTTTTTTGTCTATGGTATAGCGGTTGTACACTTCTTAGAAGTCTTGGTGTTCTCCGATAGCCGTTTCCTGTGATTGAATCTTTAGCGAGTTGCAAGCGGTGGTGATTAGATTGAAATCAATCAATTCCTCATAAATCATTCAACTGAATGATGATTTCATCATCTGTTTAAAGTTGTCTGCAAATACTTGGAAGAAAACAACCTGAATATTGGAATACCTACCACCAAGCTAAAAGAACTCCTACTCAGATGTACCCTAAATGTCCAGTTCACATTCAATGGGAACTTCTATAGACAACAAGATGGCGTGGCGATGGGATCACCTTTGGGCCCGTTGCTGGCTGATATTTTCATGGCAAGTTTGGAAAACGGTCCGCTGAAAGCAACCATCGACAAATTCTTCTTATACAAAAGGTATGTTGATGATACTTTCGTCATCTGCGATAACAGTTGTGATCAAAATATTGTTCTTCAAGTTTTCAATAGTTGCCACCCCGCCATCAAATTTACAATCGAAGTAGAAACCAATCTCCTTTCTAGACGTTCGTTTAAGTAAGAAGACCGATGGTACCTTGAACAGATCAGTACACAGAAAACCTACATGGAACGGTCAGTTGGCAAACTTCTACAGTTGGGTACCAATTAGTTGCAAGCGAAATTTGATAATATCTCTGGCGACTAGAATCCGAAAAATCTGCAGTCCTGAATTAATAGAGGAAGAGATCGCCCTCTTAAGGAAGACACTACTCGAGAATGGCTACCCACCTCGTTTTATAGACAAGCATATTAAGCCTAAGACTTACAAAGAACAACCCATTACAGTGCAGAAGAAGATGGTCTACATGAATGTACCCTTCAAAGGTGACCTTCTTGCTGACACCTTGAAGAAGAGGATATCTACTGCTCTCAGAAGGACATTCTTCGCTGCCACACTACGACTGACATTTTCCTCCCGGCCATTGTTCTTCAACTACTCTAAAGACAAACTATCGCATTTGACCACTTCCATTTTTTTTTTTTTATTCACCTGCTCTTGCGGAGCGAGGTATATAGGTCGTTCGATGCGAGTTTTATCTGAAAGAGTTCAAGAACACTATCCCGCCTGGCTACGGAAAAGAAACAACGGAACAATAAGGGGTGCCATTATTGAGCATATACTCAACACTGGTCATTCGATTTGCAAGGAGAAGTCGTTCAAAGTTATCTATAAAGTCAAAAGAAGCCTTCCAAAATCGACAAGCTTCCGTATACTTTGTATTGCCGAAGCCTTAGCGATTTGGATAGGAAAGCCTGATTTATGCACACAGAAGAAACTTCTCCACCCCCTCCTACTACCGTGGGTTTAATTTCAAGTTTATCTTTCATCAACATTTTGTTACCAAATTTTCTTTTGCAATTTTCGCATAATAATTTTAGTAACTAACCCATTCAATCTTTTTACCTATTATCTAGTTTATTTTCATAATTGTCTCCATACTCCTTCACTAACATCTAATCTTTCTAAACATGTCTATATTACGTAACCCTACTCACATCTTACCAATCTTCACCCCACTTAGTTACAACTTTGATTATTAATCATACATTTTAATTTCTTTATTATTTTGATGATGTAACCCTACTCACATCTTACCAATCTTCACCTCACTTAGTTACAACTTTGATTATTAATCACACATTTTAATTTCTTTATTATCTTGATGATGTAATCAACAACCCACACTAACTGTTATTTTGATTTTGACAAACCCTGATGTACACACACACAAAATTAATTGTATATATTTGCGACTGTACAGCTAAGTGAATGAATTCGCCGAAGAGACTCTTCTCTGAACTAATTTGTTCTTATGAAAATATATATACTACTGATTGTTTGAGATGAGTAGTTATATATTACTCACATCAGCCAGTAGCACTTGTTAGTCAAACCGAAGTGATCTAAACCCCGGACTGACGGTGGTTTCGCTCGTTTGAAGGCCGAGCTCTTAAGGCACGTACTTGGTTTGACTTAGTTCAGACGATTAAGCTCCGTGTTAACTTCAGCAAGCTTGACAGAGAAACGCAGGAATTTGTCCAATTCCTTTACTGTCACAGGGTCCTTGGAGTTCTTCAATGAACGAAATATTCCCATATTGAGTCATAAGAAAAGGCACAAACAGCGAAGAAAATTTTCTTTTCGACGATTCATTTTCATGAGCTGTACAATCGTAATTATAATTAACAAAGAAATCTTTAGACCAATCAGATACTGGTAAATTTTGTCCTTAGTTCAGACGGTCGAATCAGTTTAAACCACCCGATTTCTGGCTAGTTACTTGAATGAACTGGTAATATCAAGAATCAAATTGGCAGTTTGCAAATTATTTTGTAATTTATACATTGCGAGGTAATATTCCACCACAGTTTCCTCTGGAAACGAAAATTATTTATGTCACAATGTGTGATCTGCTTGATGCTGTAAACGGTAATCAAGAAAGCAAGTGTGTAGTTGTATAAAACCATATACTACTAACTGGTTAAGATGAGTAGTTTATGTTTAGAATGGTGTCGAGAAAACAGTTTTGGTACTATATACCTGTATACACGGAAGTATTTGTTATACAGGCTTCCGCTGAGCATTCCTGTTGTTTTTGAACTGTTTGATTTTGTAGTATAATATGGTGAACAATATTAAGGTTAGGCGTGTAGTGTTAGGTATCAAGGGTAACTCAGGCAATGAAGTTGTGAAGTACTACATCGTTTGAGATGGCTTAAGTGTAGCAACCTAAGGTGCTACACTTCTGTACAAAGTTCTGTGTGGAAACTCAGTCAGTCAGTCAGTTAGTGAATGGTTATGCACACCTAAGCTGTAAAGATGGTCGACATATAGACTGAGACCGTGGGATAAATGATAGCTGTGCGATACCAGAGTTCTGGCTAGTGTGATGCTTGTTGTCCGATTTGGCAAATTGTTCTGACTTTAAATACTCCAATATAAAGTTGGCAGAGTGACTTTAAGAGACTCTCGGTAGTGTTTTTCCTGCTGTCATCGCTCTACTATCGGTCAAGGAATGAAGAGAAGGTTTGGGACCTGCGATGGAATAATACTAACAGTAGGAGGAATGAGAGCTTTTGAAGTTGACGTAGATAAAGGTAGGTGATTTAGTGTCTCGAGGATCCCAACCGAACAACCTACACCTCCCTGGTTCAAACCAATCGCCAAAGACTATGCAATGGTGCCAGATTTTAGTTTGACCACCTCTAACTCTTTTCTAATCTAATCCTATATTGGTTAACATTGCTCGAAGCTATGGGAATTCGGGAGAATAGCCCTAGTATTTGTATATAAAAAGAAGTTTATACTACCATTGTTACTCCCTTGGCTTGAGTAAATCTAATTAATCAATTAATGAAACTTCTCATCCTTTCTTATTCTTCACCTCTTTCGTACTTTTATAATATTTATGCAGACTCCTATTTTCTTGTCCACTCCATCCTTAGTATTACGCAACTTTTAGTTCTTTTTTTTGGTTTTTCACCTAATTTAATCATTGGATTGTTTACATTATAGCGATATCCTCATTTTTCTTATCGTCACCTGTGTAAATCGCTTGTACTTTTGTTATCATTGACCTTATTATTATTATTATTATTATTTTTCTATGATTGGTTTGTAAGGATTAGATCACGGATTGATATCCGTTAGTGAACCATTGGAAACCAGTAGAGAGTAATGGACAACTGTTTCATCCTAGTTTGGGTCTCATCGGTAGTACACACCCACCACGGGGGGTCGAACCCAGGACCTTCCGGTCACAAGGCAAGCTTGTATACCATTCAGCCACTGCGACCCAAATCACTGGCCCATGAATTCTAACTTCTACCAATTCGTAATTTTAGCGCGACCACCCATCAACCAATGTCATCGGTGGGAAGTTCATCCTCACTCCCGACTAAATGGACCTCACTGGTCACGACTTCTCACTAGAATTCCAGGAAACTCCATTCTGTAATAAGTCGCTAGCGAGCATCGGATTCCATTTTCATCTTATTTTTGATGCTGAGTGTTGTTGACCTCCACATAGACTTGAGAGTAGTGAAAGCTTGTCTTGCTTTCCCGATCCTTGCTTTGATATCCTCGTCAGTTCCGTCTGTAGTTGAAACGATGCTTCCCAGGTAGGTAAACGAGGTTGTTTCTGTTGTTGTTGGCCAGGAATCTTCATCACCTCTGTTTTCTCTATGTTCACCTGAAAGCCTATCGTTGGTGTTTCTTCTGCCAACTTGTTGCTTTTCACTTGCATATCTTCCAGTTTGTGGGAAATCAGACATATATCATCGGCGAAGTCGAGATCCTCCAAGTTTTTTGTGTGGGTCCATTTTATGCCTGTTTCCTCATTGCTCGCTGTTTGTCGCATTATCCAATCTACTGCAATCAGGAAAATCATTGGCGATAGTTGGCAGCCTTGTCTTACTCCCATCTTTACTTCGAAGGATTCCGTAAGTTTCCCGTTGTGGATTGCTTGGCATGCAACGTTGTCGCACAACTGTTGGATGAGATGTATAATTGTCGGCGGCATCCCGTAGTGGCGAAGTAGTTGCCAAATCACCTCTGTGTTATATCCCTTATCCCCTTATATATATATATATATATATATATATATATATATATATCGTTCATTTGCATTCTTAGTGGAAAATAGGGCTTCAAGCTTCAGTTTTGAAGTTTCACAGTAGCGGTGGGTTCTCCTTTCCTTTCCTAGCCTAACACCCAACCTCCTCTCTTTTTCAAACTTCCTACCGACTAGGTGAGGTTCTTCCATATTAGTATTATTCTTTTTGCCTCATGTTTCTGTTTATTATCTATCTTTGGAACCTTTCTTTACTCTCTCTCTCTCCTCTTGCTTTGCGTGCTATAATGGAGTATGGCAACTCGAACTGCTGCACATCTGTGCAAAATTCTCCGTTGAAACCAGTCAGATAAGGTTTAGGAGTGTGTAAGTCGAGAATCGAACCCTTTAGTTTAAGTGTCTTAGCCGTAGTCCTGATATAACAGAGGCTGTACTTGTGCCAATGGATACATAAACACTAATATATAATTGCACAATTATTTTGTTCGTCCAATACTATAGATTCTTTGTTTAGACATTAAATTATTTATTGTTTTCATAGCTGCTACTTAGAATTTTTTTCAAGTAAATTAATATTATGTCCGGGGTAGAAGATTTTCCTTGTCGACGAAGTCATCTTCACTGGCTGTACAGCCGTATTTATATTTACCAATAACGTATATTGATTAGTCCATTATTGAGTAATGGGAGGGACAGTAACACAACTGATGTAATTGCTCAGAAGTGGCTTCAAAAGTAAAAATAAAAGTTACAAATTACGTAATACGCAAAGGGATAAAGGAAGAAAGGTTTGGAAATTTGATAAGGCTAAAATTGTTATTGAGTGAGAGGAAAGGTGGTTGAGTGTCCACCTGACAATCGTGAAGAGGAACATTTGAGAGTGATAGTAGTGAATTAACTATTAAAGCGAAAGCAAATTAATCATTAAAAATAGAAATATTTACAGGGAACGATTAATGAAGAGATTAAGACCATGGTAGAATAAGAGACTGGACAAACTTTTTCTGTACACAAAGTTCAAGGTTGTATTGACGAATCGTCAGCGTCTCCGTCGTACACAAATGCCGAAACCTGACGCCCTTTGTACAATTTGGACTCACCTTGTAGATAATCTTGAAAGGCGACTCCGGTGGAGCTACATGGTTTGAATTCACCAAGTCCTCGAGAATTGAACTAGTAACTGTCTTGCATTGTCCTCTTGCTAACCATGCTGGATAACGTTCAGAGATGCGTTTGAAAAGTGTGTGCTGTGTGAGGCCAATATAACTAACTCCACAGGAGCAGGCGAGTTAATAAACACACACTGAAGTGGCCCAAAACGGCAGTTTATCCTTAACACATCCGTTTATCATTTGTCAACTATAGAAATTGTTCCGTAGTTCAGCCGAAAAGAAGGCTTTCCTCAGTGATCTGGATAAGCAGTTCTTTAGAATCCCAGCTGCGGTATCACCTTTAAACTGAATGTTCACAAACAGCAATCTCTTGGGCAATATTTGCGTTCTTTCAGGCTTTTGCTTTACTTTGATGTTTTTCTCGGTAAATCCTGAAGGATGGTCCCAAATTTCTTCCTTAATCGTTCCCTGTAATTTGTAACTTTTATTTTTACTTTTGAAGCCACATCTGAGCAATTACATCAGTTATGTTACTGTCCCTCTCTTTACTGAATAATCGACTACTTTACGTTTTTGGTAGATACAAATACGACTGTACAGCCAGTGAAGATGATTTCGTCGATAAAGAAAATTTTCTTCTCTGAATTAGTCTTTTATTTTCTTTATGACTCATTGGATATTTTCGGTGTAATGTGATGTTATATTGTTTTGTGTTTTTATTTGTCAATTACAAAACAGGCGACGTCTACGACCAATTCTTCTAGGCACAGGTTTAACTAGAATTCAACAATCCTTATTCACTCGTGTTGCCAATATGATACATGCACGTGTTGTTACTTCTATTTCACCTGAAGTAACTCATGTCATAACTGGTGCACTTCAAGAAGCATCTACAGAGTTAACTGCTGCTGCCGGTGGTGGAGAGACGAAAAGTGATACAAAAAAGAATAATAGCACTAAATCGAAAAGAAATTCACGTTCACTTAAAAGTGTTGATGCTGAAGCAAATCAAAATTTCAATGGACAAGCAACATGTCCGCGTACTTTGAAATTTTTAAGCGCTGTTTTACAGGTTAGTGCAAGCATGTGTCAATGTTCTTTCTTTATTTTTCTTTAATGAATACAAATATGCTTATGTTCAGAAATATATATCCGAGAGAGGCATCAGTGCGTCGGTGGCACAGTGGTTAGTACTCTCGCCGACCATGCACATGGTCCGGGGTTCGATCCCCTGCCGGCGCACACCCGATATCTATGGTATGCCTGAATTTGGGCAACCGATATCCATGCTGAAAATTCCATACTTGTACTGAAAATACGGTGTGGAATCAAGCTGTAAATCAAAAAAAAAAAAGAATACCAGATGTAGGTAATTCTTAAAAGGTATTTGAGATAACTCCTCTGGTGAACTACTGTGTAATTTATGAAACATACAACAGTGAAATGACTAATTTTAGTGATAGTGTAGCCTTCAATCTGTCTGTCTGTCTGTTTTCGACATAGAAATTTGCACATATATGCGACAGTTCAAGTCGCCACACGCCATGTAGCACACAAAGCAAGAGAAGAAAGTAGGAGAAATGCATAATAATATAGACAGTAAACAGAGGTGTGAGACAAAGGAATAACGAAGAACAAAACAGTTCCATTGGAAATCATAGGTCACAAGGAGTGGATGCATCTGCACCAGCCATTGAGGACGATTTTGAGCCATGTCACCAATTGTTTCCAACTATTGGTTTTTACCCTCCCGAGGACCCCAACCAGTCAGGAAGTCTACACCTTCCTACTTGGCCTAGACTAACTGTTGTAGATTTCATTGACTGGTGCCATGTTTTGGTTTGACCGCCGCTAGCTTTTTTCTAGCCTGACCCTATATCAGCTAAGATTGCCCGTCGAGGAAGGCGATGACTAGGCATACGTAGCACATGTCCTAACCATCTCAGTTGATGTAATTTCACAGCCTCGTCGATTGATTTCCCCTCCTTACCTAGCAATCGACGCCTAACCTCAGTATTGCTCACCTTATTATACCACTTCACGCGGGAGATAGAACGCAGGCACCTATGATCGAAGACAGCTAATCTTTTCATGTCTTCCACTCTCAATGGCCAGGTCTCACAGCCATAAAGGAGAACGGAGCGGACTGATGAGCAGTACACACGCCTTTTGTTCGATAGTCGATATCACGTGTACGCCAGAGACGGCGTAAACTGGCATATGCGAAACTAGCCCTCTGTATCCGTGCTGGGATTTCATCAGAGATCAACCCGTTGGGGTTGGCTGATGGTACTTCCCAAGTAAGTGAAGCGGTCAACGTGCTCTACCACTTCACTTCCTATTTCTAATCTAGGAGTCGGTGTAGTCCAATCCTGTAACATCATCTTGCATTTGGCGGGAGCGAATCGCACGCCAAACATTCGTAGATTGAAGCTCAAGGTGTTCAGAAGACTAGTCTTCAATCAATCGGTAATGCATTCATATCTATTTATATTATTAACAAAACTCAAATTTTACTGCATTATGGACACCGAGAGACACGTCACACAGAATCTCATCGTTTATCCAGAGGCTAAGATACTTCCTGGACCCCAGATTGAAGCTGATGGTTGCTTAAGATGCCAGCCTTTTCCCCCGAGCTTTTGAATTAAAGTCTAATCTACAAGGCAGTGGAGTATCTTCAGGAGCTACATCCCCATGGTTTCCGGTATCTGAAACAAGTTCACATGCCATTCTATCTGTTCGGATTCTGGATTTCATATTCACCATAGGTTTAGAATCGGGGTTTTATAGTTCCCCTGAGTCGACCAGCATGTCTATCAAACGTTCTCACATGCCCCTTTACTTTTGTGGGGAACGCCCCCGCCATGTGAATGCAATGATTAGGACTTACATGGCAGAGGCTATAAACACATGGTTAAATGAGAACATTTCAAGAGGAAGACCGAAGTTTGCCCATCCTTGAGCATACCAAGTCGTTTATGGGGGTAACAGATTTATATCCACTCTGCCTACAGGCTAACTAAATAGGAAAGTAACACCACCTCTCTCTCTTTCTCATACACACAAACCTACAAAATGAGTTCGATTTATTACACTTGTTTGTTAACCAATCATAACCAAAGTTGTCAGAAGCGATAGTCATATTATTGGTGGAAAATTCAAATAAGTTCACTTCATATTTAAATATTCAGTGTAGATATCAAGAGTGACAATGAAAGCTTCGCAATTAAACTACCCACGTCAGAGGACACAATCACACCAAAATCATTCAGCTGAGCTATGATTCTTCTCCGTTATTTCAAAAGTTCAATTTGATCGGTTTACTGAACTATTTATACTTCAACCGTCATTATTCTCAGTTTTGCAGTTGACTTATAAGAGTTATATGTATTCTATGATGTAATATCAGTTACTAAGCTTTTTAAATTGTATCATTTCACCTCTGTATCAAATTAGTCTGAGATTTCTTGTGCAACTTTCTTTGAAATCTTTTCCCAATTGGTATATTCTGTCAGTTGAGTTATCAATAGGTAATAATGATGGTTAAGTATTTTGGGTAGTTTCTTGTTCATAAAATCAATTGCCTTCCCACTAGCCACAAAATTATTAGGCTGTTAAAGTCAAATAGGACGAAATACGCATCCTGGATTCCAGTGCTAGTCACCATCCACCGATTAAATTGCAATTACATGCCCAGACATCGTCGAAGCATCCGCACAAGAAGACGACATGTCAACCTGAGACCGAGCTCTTCAATCCAATCAATCGAGGGGGAAGTCTAAAATTCACTTAAATGTCAAAGTCAAAGTATTCTGAATAATGCCTTTGAAAATCATTTGTAGTCCGGTCAGCATACGACCTTTCGAAAACATCAGTCCTCATATAGTCACAGAAGTTAAGCAGGTTTAGAATACCGGATGTTGTCAACTTTCGCTCTGGTAGTTCAGTGGTAAAATACCAGTCAGTCATGTGGTCTAGGGTTCGATTCCCAGCTGACGCATTCTTAAACCTCGCCTAGTTTGCTAGCAAATAGTAAACCCGGAAAAGAAGGGAAGTTAATCGTGAGGCTTGCGAACCCCAATCCATAAAAACAACACTGTCGCTGTTGAAATTTCAAAATCTCATAGTTGTTTGTTCCACTGACAACGCAGAGGTGTTTGAACTTGCTTCATTGATTTCTGTACTAAAAGAGTATTACAAAGACTAGCCAAAGCTGTTAATAATTTACATAATTAACGTCGCACCGCATGAGCACACTCTTTGATAACGGATGAGAAAGAAAAAGAAGAGGAAATATCAAACATTACTGAGACTCCCAAGCAAAATAACTACCCAAAACACTTCATCAACAATGACATTAAATATGGTCGAAAACGTATTCCGAAAACATAGACTTCCACAGTTGTCATTCCATATAGAGCAGAGACGTCAGATGATATCAGAAGAGTACTCAAGAAGCTGGACATCAGATTTTTCTTCAAAACGTCAGACACACTGCGAAGCAACCTTGTCCATGTAAAAGATCAGATCCTTAAGGATTCTCTATCTAATTGTGTCTATAAAATAAAATGGTCAGAATGTGATGCGATATACATCGGACAAACATCGCGAGAAACCAAAATCAGGAGAAATGAACACCGTAGAGCATCTATTCGACCACCGAGAAATCCATTTGAAGTAGAAAAGCTTGAAAAATCATCAGGTCACGAAATTGATTGTGACAATATTCAAACAATCCAGAAAAATTTTAAAAATCACAAAAAAGTCCCATTTCATCAGAAGCACTCCATATCAAATGAAATCCAAATTGTTTGAATAGAAATGATAAACTAAAATAGAATCTGACATGTTTACAACACCCCCTCCCCCATGAAATGACAAAACCAACACGGATGTGATAAGCGATTTCATTATGTAAACACATGCCGCTTTTATAATCTTATGCACTTATCAAATCCAACAATCTACACCTGGTTTTGTTATCTTTGCCAATTAGCCAATTTGACAACGAAAAATGGCCCCTATACTGAGGAACGATGATTAAGTTGTTATTTATATAATAGGCTGAGATTTTGTAAATTCTGATTTAATAATATTTTGATAAAGCTATTAGCAGCAGCACTGAATGGCGAAACGTCAGTAAAAACAAAAATATCGTTTTGTTTTTCATTCATTGGGATCGCGCTAAATCACGAGTTGTTAGAAGTCAGAATTCATGAGCCATTGAATCGGGTTCCAGTGGCTGAATGGTATACGAGCTTGCCTCATAACCGGAAGGTCCTGGGTTCGAACCCCTGTGGTGGATGTGTACTGCCGATGATTCCCAAACTAGGATGAAACAGCTGTCCAGTACTCTTTGCTGGTTTTCAATGTTCCTCTAACTGATATCAATCCGTGATCAACTCGTAAAATACAAAAAGCCTTTATTATAAAGTTGCGATATAGCTGAAATTGATTACGGTGGAGGAGAATTGATACGTGTTTCTTCGCTTCTTTTTCAAATCTTTTACCTTTTTTATTCATTCATTTCTTTTTCTTCTTTTCACTATTGATTTCATATTAAGGGTTGTTGGATCCTGTCATTCGATTGGATTGAGACTTGTGCTCATATTAAAATGCGTGTAGAAGAAGAAGGCTTTGAAGTAACTGGATGTAGTACTGCACCGATGTCTGGTGCACCTCGTCGAGCGCGTCTTGCTCGTGAAGCTGGTTCCTTGGGATTGCTCCATGGTCAGAGGCTTTGTTTCCTAGTAAGTGTTGTGTAGAGTGTTTTTTCTTTCTTGAGTCCTAAAAGGTATATTTCTATAGATTTTATCGTATAATTAATAAAATAACGAAAAAAAAAACAGTTTTTTGTTCAGCAAAGAAATATCTCTTTTCAACGACTTCATTTTCAAGCAGCTGTTAGTCGTATTTAAGTTGTGGAAAAGGGCATTAAGTGGCCCTAGAAATGATAAGAATAAAGATAGTTAAGATGATTTACTAAAGGGGGTAGAATTGAAGTGGATGAATTACAAAACTTCTAAAGTTTATTAAATAAGTGCATTGGTAAAAGGATTTTAAAAATAGTGCTGTCTAAAAAAATAAGAGTAAGACTATGATAACAATAAAGACGGCGAAAGTGAAGTGAAGTGGAATGAATTCAAGTAGTAAAATAGAATAAAATAAAAGAAGGAACATGACCACTATGACCAAGGTAAAGAAAGGGGTTTAACAAAACTTTTTTGAACACATAATTTAGACTTTTGTCCATGTATATAGTTAGAGCTTCAGCTATGTATAAGTGGAGAAATCATAAGCTTTTGGAGTAGTTGGAGTGAGAATAGTAATAATAATAATAATAATCGTAGCAATGAGGGAAAAGTACATCGAATAACTAAATAAACAAAATAAGTAAATGTCTATCCCTCTGCGGCCAAGGCAGAAGTAGGGATCGTACATACTTCTTTTGTACACAAAGGTCTGGCTTAAAGTCATCAATTGCCAAGGCCTCAGCTGTCTTTAGAAGTCTTTCAGATAATTCCCTCACCGGATATAATTTCTCAAAAACCATATATATATATATATATACGATTGTACAGCTTGATAATTAATTCGTTGAAAATAGTCTCTTTGCTGAATAGTGTGTTGTTAATGCTACAATGGGAATTATTAATTTTCAAAAGAATAGACACGGAACAAAGAGAACTCTTTTCGATAAATTCATCATCAGGTTCTACAATTATATATACATTATAATGAATGAATGAATTAGTCTTATGAACGACATTAATGTTTAAATAACATCAAATCAATAATATTGATAAATTACAGCTGAACAGCATCAACATAAAATAAGCTGAATGTCAGAAGAATTAGGAAAGATAATAGTACAAATTCATGAGTTTATAGTTTCTACTGAGGGCCAGGGCAGTAGTAGGGGCTGGACTTGTTTCTTTTGGACACAGAGCGCTGGTTGTTTGAGGCGAATTGCAATAGCCTCTGCTGTTTGGAGTAAGCGGTGCTTCGACGATTTTGGTAGTTTGTTAGGCACCCGGTATATTATGGAGAAGGATTCGTCTACGCTGGCTTTGTGACCAGTTTGCACCAGATGGTCTAATATCGAGCTGTTAATACTTTTAACTACACCTTTACTTAGCCATAGTGGGATATGTTCTCGAGCACGAAAAACCAAGTTCCTAGAGCAACGGCCAACATAACTCGCTCCACAAGCGCAGTTGAATTGATAAATACAATTTGAAGTGGCCAGTCTAGGTACTTCATCTTTCAGTCGAGGTAGCACCATCGGTCTTGTAGAGAATAATATGTGTAGTTCGCCAGCATTAAAAGTCCTTTGAACTGATTTTCTTAATTTCTTCGTAATTAACTCGCTTGGTATATCGCCCATGAATTGTAGTCGTATATAAAGGGGCTTCTTGTTTACAGATAGTGGGACGTCCTTTTCGGCCTTCTTCGTCATATGTTTCTTGATAAACTTGTCAGGATAACCATTTTCAATTAAAGTATCATATACAATGTTTAATTCATCTTTAATTACTTCTTCAGAGCATATAGCTCTAACTCTGTGGCTAAGGGTCTTCACCAAATTCCTTTTGTATTTGATGGGAACGAAGCTATGAAAGTGTGTATATTGTCCCGTCCAAGTACTTTTTCTATGTAAATTTCTTTTTATGCTTCCGTCTGGTTTTCTTGTAAGTAGGACATCGAGGAAGGCAATTCTGTCTTGGGATTCCTCCTCGCATGTGAATTTCATAGCCGGATGTACTTCATTGAATTCAGTAATTATTGTACTCTTATCGGAACCATTATCACAAAGAATAAAGGTGTCATCCATATATCGGCAATAAAATGAGAGATTACTGATAAGGTTGTTCAGAGGTCCATTTTCTAGCTTACTTAGAAAGAAATCAGCCAGAATTGGACCTAATGGGGAGCCCATTGCCACCCCGTCCACTTGCCTGTAAAGCGTGCCGTCAAATTTATATACGACTACAATTCAAGGGCGATAAACCAAGTGAGTTAATTACAAAGAAATTAAGAAAATCAGTTCAAAGGACTTTTAATGCTGGCGAACTACACATATTATTCTCTACAAGACCGATGGTGCTACCTCGACTGAAAGATGAAGTACCTAGACTGGCCACTTCAAATTGTATTTATCAATTCAACTGCGCTTGTGGAGCGAGTTATGTTGGCCGTTGCTCTAGGAACTTGATTTTTCGTGCTCGAGAACATATCCCACTATGGCTAAGTAAAGGTGTAGTTAAAAGTATTAACAGCTCGATATTAGACCATCTGGTGCAAACTGGTCACAAAGCCAGCGTAGACGAATCCTTCTCCATAATATACCGGGTGCCTAACAAACTACCAAAATCGTCGAAGCACCGCTTACTCCAAACAGCAGAGGCTATTGCAATTCGCCTCAAACAACCAGCGCTCTGTGTCCAAAAGAAACAAGTCCAGCCCCTACTACTGCCCTGGCCCTCAGTAGAAACTATAAACTCATGAATTTGTACTATTATCTTTCCTAATTCTTCTGACATTCAGCTTATTTTATGTTGATGCTGTTCAGCTGTAATTTATCAATATTATTGATTTGATGTTATTTAAACATTAATGTCGTTCATAAGACTAATTCATTCATTCATTATAATGTATATATAATTGTAGAACCTGATGATGAATTTATCGAAAAGAGTTCTCTTTGTTCCGTGTCTATTCTTTTGAAAATTTTAATGGGCATTTTTAATCAATTATTAATTTATTGAAAAAATATAAATATGACTGTACAGTCAGTGAAGATGATTTCGTCGATAAAGAAAATTTTCTTTGCTGAATTTGTCTTTTATATTTTCTTAATGACTCAATGGATTTTTTCGATGATTCACATAATGTGTGTTTGTGTAACTCGTGGTGAGAAACATGAGAAAGTGTTTTGCTCCGAGTAACTGCGTATTGTATTATTTTTTCATCACTTCTTTTGGTTACTTATTATTGTTATTTTTTCTTTTTTATCCTTCAGGGAAATTTCTTATATCCTGTCCCGTCAAGAGATGAACTCACTCGATTGGCACGATCAGGTGGAGCAAGTGTAGTATTCAGTCGTGAAGTATGCTCTCCAATTCGATTGGCTAGATATGCTATAGAATCTGCAAATAATTCATCTATATGGGATTTAAATATTGACAAGATGAATACAGGTGAAGAAAGCAAAGAATGCGAGCAGGGCGTAGACGAGAGTATATCGTTTATAGATGATATGACTATGATGGAATCCGACACTCCATCTTCATTACTTGTCTTATATGATCCTGGTGTTTATAATAAATCATCGACAAATACAACGACATCTCATAAAACTATTTATGCTGTAGAAACTGTTTCTAAGGCTTTGAATTTAATTAAACCGAAGAAAACTGCGACTTCATCAGCATCCATAGACAGCTTACCACCACCTCTTCAATTGGTACCGTGTACTTGGCTGTTAGATTGTGCTGCAGAATATCGTCTACTGCCATTTCCAAGTGTTGATGTCGTTAAATGATGATTACACCTTTGTGTTGCCAAGTGATTTTGATTAGTTTTTTTTCTTATCTATTGTGTAATATTTATCTTTCTATCTGTCATTAATCTAAACGGATGATTTTACCTCCTGTCGTCATCCTATTTGATGATGATTACTTTAGACCTAACAGAGATTTTAACGTATATATATTTTCTTTGTGAAATATATTTAAATTCTTTTTGCTTTTTTTATAATTGAAAATTTTACTTGGACTATTTGTCAGTAAATAAAACGTGTCTTTATTTAATAGCAAGTTGTCTTATTGTTTAAACTTAACTCAGTTGCCGGGATCTCAGATTTTTCATTTAGTAGGGTACTACTGATGGCATTGACCCTAACGGACTGACTTCAACTACTTAGGGATTGATCTGTTACCGGAGGATAAATAGTCTTGTTGGTTTAGAATATGTGCAGATGAAGATGCTGACACACCTTGAGCCGAAATCTTTGAATGTTTGGCATGTGATTTACTCTTATGAAATGTAAGGTGATGCTACAGGACTGGACTACATTGACTCCTAGTTTAACGATAGGGAGTGAAGTGGTGGAGCATGTTGACTACTTCACTTATTTGGAAAGTTGCACTAGCCCCAAAGACATGAAAAGATTAGCTGTCTTTGATCATAGGTGCCTGCGTTCTATCTCCCGTGTGAAGTGGTATAGTAAGGTGGGCAATATTGAGGTTAGGTGTCGAGTGCTAGGTAAGGTGGGGAAATAAATCGACGAGGCTGTGAAGCTACATCGACTGAGATGGTTAGGACATGTATTACACGTGCACAGTCATCGCCTTCCTCGACGGGCAATGTTAGCTGACATATGGCCAAGATGGAAAAGAGCCAGCGGCGGTCAAACGAAAACATGGCACCAGTCAGTGAAATCCACAACAGCTAGTTTAAGCCACGTAGGGAGATGTAGACTTCCTGGTTGGCGTCGTAGGGACGGTAAAAACCAATGGTTGGAAACAATTGGTGACATGGCTCAAAATCGTTCCCAGTGATGGCGCAGATGCATCCACTCCTTGTGACTTATGATTTCAAATAGGACTATATTCTTCTTTGTTATTACTATTCTTTTATCTCACACCTCTGTTTACTGTCTCTATTACGCATTTCTTCTCTTGCTTTGTGTGCTACTTGGAGTGTGGCGACTTGAACTGTTGCACATCGGTGCAAATTTCCATGTCGAAAATAGACAGACTGGCCCCAAACGCGTTGATTGATGATGAAATCTCAGCATGGATACAAAAGGTTACTGTGGAACTTGCTAACCTGCATCATCTCTGGCGTAGACGTGATATCCAGCTGGCTATCGATCAAAGGATGTGTATACTGCTCAGCAGTCCACTCCGTCTTCCTACATGGCTGTGAGGCATGACCATTGAAATTGGAAGACATGAAAAGGCCGGTTAAGTTGACTTTGATCATAGGTGCCTGTGTTCTATCTCCCGTGTGAAGTGGTATAGTAAGATGAGCAATAGTGATATTAGGCGCCGAGTGTTAGGTAGGGAGGTCAAATCAGTCGATGAGGTTGTGAATGTAAGTCTATTGAGATGATTAGGACATGAGTCATGCATGACTAGCCATCGTCCTTCTCGATGGGGAATGTTAGCTGACATATGATGAAGTTCGAAAAGATATAGTGGTGGTCAAACCAATGTTTTTGACCCTTAGTTTGAGCCAGCTACGTGGGAATGTGTAGACTTCCTTAATGGTTGGGGTCGTCGGGATTCTAAAATCCAATGGCTGGTGATATGTTTCAAAACCCCTAATTCTCAATGGGACAGATGCATTCACTCTTTCCGATTTTCCATATCCATTAAACCCTCACTTTTTTCTTATGTTACTACTCATTCGCTTTCACACTTGTGCTTATAATCGTTCTGTCGAATCTCCTTTTTCTCCTTTGTATGCTGCATGGAGTGTGTCAACCTGAGGTGCTGTACTTCTGTGCAAAGTCCTTTGTTGAAACCAATCAGTCAGGGTATATGAGGGATGCAACTTTCGTTTCAGGGCTGCATGAGACTAGTTGAGAATCGATGAGCCACATTTCAAATTGAGAGGTCGTCCACGCAAAATAATGGAGTTTCACAGGTGTCTGCTGATATTGCCTGCGGATGCTAGTAAAAGTGACAATGAATATTTTTGTCTTCAGCCACTTTGCGACTTTAATTCCGTTGAACTCAGATAACTTTATTAAGCCAATCAACAGTGTATAAACAATAAGAAGAATTTTGAAATAATAGAGATTTGTAGCTCAGGTGGATGATTTGCAATTAATAGTGTTCTCTGAGCTGGTTGGTTTAGTTGCGAAGCTTTCGTCGTCCTTCTGGACAACATCTTCAGCGCCATATTTAGCACAAAGTGAAATGATTTAAATTTCTTCATGAGTGATGTAACTGCGTCTCCCGGTAACCATCTTTACATATGTATTGACCATTTTCTATTGACTTGGATTTTAAACTTTCTGGTCACCTGATTTACTTTTTATTAGTTGGTATATTTCATCTATATTAACGTGTTTGTTAATTGCATTTTCGCTTGAGTACCAGGCTTCTAGGAATTCTCTGGCAGTTTTCGTGTTTCCTCTGTCTAGGATTTTGGCATGATCCCAATCAAATTGATGACCATAATTATCTGTATGCATTGATACTAAAGAATACATATCATGTCTTTTCACGGCTGATTTGTGTTCTTGGATTCCGATTCGAAGGGGACGCTCACTTTGGCCGATTAATGTTTGTTACAGTTCATACATTTTATTTTGTAAATGGTAATAATTTTATCTTCTTTTTCTGTTGGATCTTTAAGTTTGCACAATATCGAATTAAGTGATTTAACTAGCTTGTGTGCCATGTCTATTTCAAACGGTTTCAATATTCTAGCTGTTATTTCAGAGATATTTTTCATTTATGGTAGGATGAATTTTCTTGTGGTTTTTGATGATGGTTTCTTGTTGGTGTTTTGATTCGACTTTAAACACTTTTTGATGAAATTTTGTGGATAACCATTCCTTTTGAAGACCGTTTGTAGGTACTTTTCTTCGATTCTTTTCAACTCTGGAGTGCTACAATGTGTCCGAACTCTTTTAAACAATGTCTGCACACAGTTTCGTTTGTGAGTAACTGGATTATTGCTAGTATAGTTGAGTATTTGATCTGTGTGCTTTGATTTTCTATATACTTGTGTTTTTAAATCTCCTGTGTTGGTTCTCCTGATTAAGACATCTAAAAATGGGATTTTGTTATCTAATTCTTCTTCTCTTATGAATTTGATATCTTCAAATATGTTGTTTATTAATTTATGAGTATATTCTCAATCACTTCTCTTAATTATTACAAATGTATCAGCAACGTAACGTATCCAGATTTTCGGTTTAATTATAGGTAGAGCTATTAATTCTAATCTTTGCATAACGGCTTCAGCTATTAATCCTGATATGGGCGATCCCATTGGTGTTCCTTTTATCTGTTCGTATATTTGAGTATTGAACTGGAGTATCAATGCATACAGACAATTATGGTCATCAATTTGATTGGGATCATGCCAAAATCCTAGACAGAGGAAACACGAAAACTGCCAGAGAATTCCTAGAAGCCTGGTACTCAAGCGAAAATGCAATTAACAAACACGTTAATATAGATGAAATATACCAACTAATAAAAAGTAAATCAGGTGACCAGAAAGTTTAAAATCCAAGTCAATAGAAAATGGTCAATACATATGTAAAGATGGTTACCGGGAGACGCAGTTACATCACTCATGAAGAAATTTAAATCATTTCACTTTGTGCTAAATATGGCGCTGAAGATGTTGTCCAGAAGGACGACGAAAGCTTCGCAACTAAACCAACCAGCTCAGAGAACACTACTAATTGCAAATAAGAAGAATTTGTCTGAATCGTGTCATGCATTTCTGTCACATTACGTTTCACGTGCAGAATTTAGATTCTCTCAGAGTGGACAACGACTGGAACTCCTTACCTGATTCAGTAGTAGTATTAGCTCCATCTGTGAATGCTTTCAAAGAGAAGTTGGATCTCTGCAGAGATATATTTTGCAAGGATTAACACAGGCACAAGAGCCTACTATCCTTATCATCTGAATCTGTATTTGTGCAACACATTTCGAACAATCTGATCACACACGGACTTGTCATAGGAATAGATATATATGAAATTAATAAAGAGTTAAGAGGTGAGAAAATAGACTTAGGTCAAGTTAAAATGACATATTGAGGGTCCAAAATAACAATAAAGACCAATAAACCAAATAACAGAGGTAATAGTACATCTGCTATGGTATCAAAAGAAACTTTAACAAGGAAGGTTTAGTGTGATGAATTTTTTGGACGCATAAAGGTGGTTTAAACTTTCTAATTGCCAGCTAGGGCTTCCACAAACTTTAGGATACGCCCCAAACAGGTCTTATAGATAGGTTTAAAAGATGTGTTAACGTCAATTTTATGTTCTGTCTTTATAATATTTTTCGCAATAGAGGAGCTAGGTCTCCTGTTTTCACAATTAATGGGTTCTGAAGAATCGTAGGTATAATAGGCAGTGTATATATTATTCAGTTTGTCTTCACATATAAAGATATGTCTGTCTTACGTTCCTCTATGAATTCGCAGGTTCAAACGTAACACATCAATGCAGTTAAGAATACTTTCTGTGTACTATTAGCTAACTGATAAACGAACAAATCAAAAAACATTCTATCGATGAAAGGAAGAAAGAAGACTTGATCATTGAAGGCGACCTTTTAGTATTTCAACAACAGGCGAACTGATGGAGAGGGATTACTGAATATACATCATGGCGTCATCCATCAATTAGATCATTATAGAATCTAAAGAGTTTAAATAACCAAAATAAGAAACTCTATAAGGTAAAATGAAAGGTAAAAATCGAAAGCAACTAGTGGTTTGGAAAAGGTAATACTCTGGATCTTTAAACGTTGATTTCAAGGATTTGATTGATTTTAA